CTTTAACAAGGACATTGCTGCCCAGAACAGGTTGGTTTAATATTTGTAGATCTCTCTCTCACTTTGTAGACACAGCCCAAGCCCAACCAAAGTGTTTTGAAAGATGTTTTGAATGTATAAGACAGGATAAAGTGGATGAACTTTAAAATAAAAATAAGCAAAAAACCTAGAGAGAATTCAGCCAAAAAGGAAAGTTCTAAATTAAGATAGAGCTTGATAAATCGGAGTCAGATAAATCTTCACAAAGGTTTGGAAAATCCAGTTCTTTAATCTAGAAAGACAGAGTAACTGCTTACTGAGGCAGATCTAAGCCTGGGGAGAAATACGGAATAAAAATTCAAGCAAGCCCCCAAATCAAATAGTATAAATGAGTTGAAGAAACAGCAGTATATTTTAACAAAGAAAGTTGAGATCAAAAGATGTAACAATAAAGGATAACTAGATAAGGCAGCTCTTGGGTCAGGCCATCCATTCATGTCTAGCTATTTCTTTCCCTTTATCATGGCTTATGAAGTTTGAAGGTGCCTTCAAACGTATAGATATATCCCTGGAGCCCTCACCAGCTCTTCTTGTGGAATGAAGCTTTCGATTATGATTAGGAATCTTTCATTCACTGGGCCCTGGGCCCTGTGTACTTTAAAAATGGTGCCTGTAGCTAAGTGACAAACACAGCAGTTGTCATATTCATTCGTGTCCCCTGGGGCCTCATTCAGGAACTCAAGATAACCAGGCAGTGTTGTGACCAGATATACACACTTGAAGTCTTCCAAGACACAGGCCCTCATGACAACGTGGCCTGGGGGATAGCAAAAGAGAAAGGCAGTGATTTAAAGATCACCAAACACCCCCAAAGCTGTCGTAGTTATAGAGCACTTCCCCATTCCATATTTGTCACATAAACAAGAAGCTGTTCCCAGTGTTCGCCCTCAAGTTGTTAGTCAGCTGCTGACCTCATAATCTGCACAGCTGCCGCAGCCCAATATGTTGTCATGAAACAGATTGTGATGTCTTCATTGATCACTTTCAGAGGTTACAGTTGTCAAGTGAGACCAGTGTGCTGATTCTTATTAGTTCAATTAAGCCTTGTTAGAGCAGAACTGGCTAATTCTCTCTAATGACTGGGAAATCCAATGCAAATTGTCACACTGGATGGAGCACATCCCAGGCTTTTTTTTTCTCAGTTTGTGGATGCTGTACCCCACATAGGTTTTTATCATCCAAAGAAGCAAATTTTTGCATCAGTAAATGGAATGCCACCCCTTTCCACTATATGAATCTTGGTGATAAGTTGGAATGTGCCATCTCATACACACACGATTTAAATTAGGCCTTGATTCCCATGACACTGAGGTTGGAGGACTGAGCCGAGTGTGATGGATGTCAGGCCCTGCCACCAACTGCCTGGCAGGGGGAATATTACTGTGTTGATTCTTATTTCCTAAAAGAATACAGGGTCCTAAATGGGTGAGGAAGGGTCTTAGATCAATGCCTGACCCTAAAAAGGCACCCTCTGTGCCTCAATTTGCCTTCACTATGGCATTAAATTATAAAATCCCATTTCCAAGTGTCCTAATATACTTACCCACCTTGAGTGGCCCTACTCTAACCTGAGACCTGGACCACCTGCTGCTCACCGTGGTTCAGAATCCTTACTGTGGTGGAGGTGACAGACAGCCCCTTTCACAGATGAGCCTTAAAACAGCTTATAAATGGACCCCCGTGGGTTCCACCAGTTTTGCTTTTTGAAATTCTTGTTTTGATAACTCAAATTAGCAGATGCCTTTGTCAGTCTGGTGTATTTTGTAGGAGCACAATAAAGACTAAATCAAAGAATCAAGTTTAAATTTAAAGATAATCCCTAACATCTAAAATATCTCAAGAAGTAAAAGGATGTTTATCAAAGCATTTATAGAGTAGGAAAAAATAGATAATAGCTAAATGCACAGTACTAGGGAAACAGATGCATTGTGCTATACCCATATAATAGACTAAGGAACTGGCATTAAGACTATCTCTAAGGACTATTTAGGGAAAGCTGATTATATTAATGATGTGGAAAGTTAATCACATGAAATAATGTGCAAAACCAATGTTGCCAAATTTTATAGATGATTTCTTAATGTGCCTAAAATAATTTATGTAGAAAGAGGAAAAATACAGTGAAATATTAGTAATGGTTGTTGCATTCAGTTTTGTTTTTTTTTTTTTTTTTTGAGACAGGGTCTCACTATGTAGTTCAAGCTGGATTTGAACTCACTATGTAGCCCAGGCTGACCTCTAATTCATAGCCATCCTCCTGCCTCAGCCTCCCAAGTGCTGGGATTACCGGCATGCACCGACAAGCCTGGCTTGTAACGGCTGTTGAATGATGGAAATACGGAGAGTGTTTAGTCTTTTTTTTCAATTTTTTTTAATTCTTCAACTTTGAGTAGCTGTGTGTTAACACTAGATGCAATGGTCTGTGTGTAAGGCATCTCAAATCGAACTGCAGCCCGGTGCCGTTGTACATGTCTGTAATCTCAGCACTCTGAGAGGCTGAGGCAGGAGGATCATAAATTTGAGCTCAGTTTGGGATACCTGGAGACTTAATGAGACTGTCTCAGAAAAGAAAAAAAAATGTTGATGTAGCTCAGTGCAAAGGTCCTGGATTCAATCCCCAGGACAACAACAATAACAACAAAAACCTTTTAACTAGTCTAGAAAGGAGCCCCTGCTTTCCTACCCCAGTCCCACCTCTCTGGGGAACACCCTGTCTTCTCCTTCTCAGCTACAGGAAGCCCCAGTCTTCTGCCTACTTCTGCTAAAAGACTAGAGTTATTGGGGATGCTTCCCTTTCACAGTCCACATTCACACATTCACTTTGGGCCAGCCCATCAGCTCTGCTCTCAGCATAATCCACAGTGCAACCAGCTCCTCTCCACTTTCTTTGCTTACCACCTTGTCTGCAGCCAGCTTCTCCTCTTGCTGGTGTTGGAGCAGTAGCCTGCTCTCGCTTCTTCAACCCTTGCTTCTTTTTTACTAGCTTTCCACACAGCAGCAAAAGCCATTAAAGTACAACTCAGATCAGTCCCTCCTCTGTTACAGCCTCCCCCAGCTCCTTGTGGCACAAGTCAGGTGCCCTGAATCTCTCTCATCTGCAGGGTCTGGCCTCAGCAGCTACTTGCTGCCACTACTGGCTTTGCCAGGTCATGTTGCTGTTCCCGTTAGCTTCCTCTGGGTGTTTGCATTAACTTTTTGCCCAAATATCCCCAAGGCCAGCTTTTTCACTTTATACACATATTTATGTGTGTGCATACACACAAGCACACAGGTCCACACATACTTCCTAACCTTCTTCCTTGCTTACATTTTCAGTGTAGCACTGAAGACACTTTAATAGATTATCATATTATATAGGTTTCTGCCTTATTTATTTTGTTTCCCCAAATTGAATGCATGCTGGTGCTCCCTTCAGCAGCACATATACCAAAACTGAGTGCATGCTGTAGTGTGGCAGGAGTTTTTGTCTCTAATTTTTGTCACAGTTAATTCTGTTGGGACTGTGTCTGCCACACAGAGGCTCTGAATAACAGCTATGAGCACCTACCATGAACCGCAAAAGTGAACTCTCACAGTGTGTGAGGGTTGTCCTGGTGAGTCTTCTGAGTTACTCATTTCTCAGCTTACCACCAGGATTGTCACACCAAGACTGATCCTGCTGATACTTGATATGTTTCTTCTGATTGCTTTTCTCCTTTCATCTAAGTCTAGAATTCTAAATTAATTGGTAAAGTCCATTTCTTCTGTAGTATTAAGCCCAGTGCTCAGATTCCTAATAAACTAATTTGATTTCTTTCATTTCCTAATTTAAACCAATGGAGTACCTAATGTATTCCAGGGAGCTCTGGGGAGTGGGGTTAAAATGAAGATAGACCTGTTCTTAAGAATTTACCATCTAGTGGCAGACATAATTAAAAAAAATAAAGTACAACATATTAGGTAAAGTAAGGAGAGGGTCTTGTGAGAGAGGGACTACTCCCCAATAGGTGTAATAAAAATTCAGGATAAAAATGTAGAACTTCATAGGCTACAAAGATGCATATCAACAAAGCCATTTTTTTTTTATCAACGTTGACGATAAGATGACTTTCTGAAGTGGGAGAAAAATAGTGAAAGTAACTAACATGACTATTTTCGGAGGGAAGCAGGGAGCAGCAGGAAGGGCAGTGGGCTTACCATTATAAAATCTAGATTTGAATTTGCCACTGCGACTTTATCATTTGCAAGTCCTGAAAATAAATAAATGTTTTACTCATCGATGTCCCTGTCACCTCCATGATTAAAAAAAATAGTGCAACAGAGTTAAGCTAGATGCAGAGATGATCTGAGTGCATGCCTTCCCTGAGTCTTACAAGAAGCCTTTCCTTACCCACCTAGAATAAAATCATGAAAGCCAATTAACATAGTGACTTGGAGGAAACTATTAAGAATGTGTATAATGTTTTGCCAGCCTTATGCAGTTCTGTGTTCTGACAATCTTGAAAATCTCATCTGTTCGACTCTTCATATTTTTATCAACGTCCTACCTAACCATGAATACATCTAACTAAAGTACAGAACTGATGTGTGAATACATTTTTTTCATTTCTTTTATAGCTATCAACATTATTACCAAGAGCAAATCTTTACATATCTCCTTAGTTCTCTTGAAGTTACAGTTGTGAATTTTTAAGAAAATCATCATTTACAAATGACTGTTTCCCCACACAATTTTGTACTGCCACATGATAATACAGAAATGTAAATGACTTTAATGGTATATATTTACTTTTTCAATGGAAGCATGGCACTGTCTTGATAACCTATATCTGATACTGTGGGGTTAGCATATATATATATATTTTTTTTCAGAAATATTTCCTTATTCAGCAGTTAGGCTATATCAGCATTTTGTTTTCCAGAAGAGTTTGTTCGAATGGATGAAATGCACCACTTGCCTTCTCTCTCTTTCTGTTTTTCAGCCATTACAGCTGGACTGTGAACTGTGTGCCATAGTGTCAAACTCAGGCCAGATGGTTGGACAGAAGGTGGGGAATGAGATAGACAGGTCTTCCTGTATCTGGAGAATGAACAACGCCCCCACCAAGGGGTATGAAGAAGACGTTGGCCGCATGACGATGATTCGCATGGTATCCCATACCAGCGTTCCTCTTTTGCTAAAAAATCCTGATTATTTTTTCAAGGAAGCAAACACGACTATTTACGTTATTTGGGGTCCTTTCCGCAATATGCGGAAGGATGGCAACGGAATCGTTTACAACATGTTGAAAAAGACAGTTGACGTCTATCCAAATGCCCAAATTTATGTGACCACAGAAAAGCGCATGAGTTACTGTGATGGCATTTTTAAGAAGGAAACTGGGAAAGATAGGTAAGTCCTCTCTGAAGTTACCTGATTGTCTGTTAAGCTAAATCTTTGTTGACTCCTTTTGCCGCTATCAAATGAACAGAGTTATTTTTTAAACTGATCGGTATATGTTTTTGACTATTACGATTACATGATGAGCCAGCAGCTAGGTCCCATTAATTCCTCCCACACCGCCTGCTGTTCTCTCCATTTTAATTGGTGTGCAGCTCTAAGAAATGCCGGGTGCTTTTCCAAGCTATCTTTAGATCTTTTCTTATGAAACTCAATTTGCTATTGATTAAATTGGATTTCAACTGAAAGAGGAAGTCTACATGTTTCTGTTCCAAAACATATAGAAATCTTAAGCAACTTCAGAATAAAGCGTTGACCTAAAGTCCTCTGGAAACTGTGGCACAATTTTTTATCTGAGGCCACACACAGAACAGGCTATTGATTCCCTCATGAGAGTGCAAACCTTCTTGCACACAAATAGATGCTGTGATCTTGAATATCCTAACTTGGTACCTGACATGTTCAGCAAAATACCATCTTGAAATTATGCATTACTTAAAATCATTAGCAGTTGTATTCTTGAAGAGAAAGGAGGTATAAATATCTTTCCCTCAATTATCCAAAAACCAATTTGCATTTTTTAAAGTACATCTATTTTTTTCTCCAACTTTCTGTGAACACCCTTCTACTTCTTGTCCTCCAGGCCTGCTGGCTGCGCTCTCCTATCCGCTACTTCCTCCAGCTGCCTCTCCTGCCTCCATTTTGAGCTCTGTCATCTCTCCCACTTTTTTTCCTCTTTAGAATGATAACCAGAGAGAGCACAGTATTACCAGCCAGTCACGCTTGATGCATACATTTGGCTCTAATGAAGAACTACTGAAGTAAGACATTGAAACCAGTAGCTAAAGTTTCAAATGATCTGTGATAATCAAGTATGATTCCAGTATCCTGATTCCCTCCAAATGTATTCAGTGTTATCAAATGTAAAGTTTTAACTATATTGCATTATCATCTTGAGGTGGAGGAGTAGTTTCTGATCTCTTCAGAGACAATTTCAATGTTGGTATTTATTTAAAAATCTTTGGTAAACTAACTCTCCTGTTGACAACGTGGGTTGACTTGAATTTAGCCTGTTCTACTTCCGGGCACCAAAAGTCACAACTTCATAAAAAATGCATGATGGAAAAAGCCATAGTATGGATCCATTCTACTATTAAAGTTAGTGAGAAGAATCTCAAGGACTCTTAGATTTGGATAGTTACAGCATAAGCTGTTCAAAGAGACAGCAGTAGAGCTAAAAGGAGTAGAAGGTCTAGTACTTCAAAGAAATGCACTCATGTAGCACCATTCTATATTAATATGACTATTCTTAAGGGGCTTTGGAAACCTCTGGTCTCTTGCTAGCTCAGAGCAATGCAGTTAATTAGATATATTTGATTTTTCATTAGAGTCAACCCTCAGGGTATCCTCCAGTCATAACTACAAGCCCTAGAATCATTTGGGGTATCAGAGACAAGCATAGTGTGATGTTTGTTTCTATGTGTTAATATGTTGGCTTCTGCTGTGAGCTTTCTATGAGACTGTGCTATCACAGATGTGTGAATTGTACAAGAACCGAGAGAGAACATCTTTGAGAGGGTGTTTTCTTACTGACTGTGATAAGAAGAGTTGTTTGTACAGTAGGAAAATTACTTGGCAATTTCACTCATTTGGTAAAATTAATACATCATTCAATTGGTAGAAATACCAAAATAAGTTTACTTTTTAAGGTCCAAATGATTTTATGGTGAATCCTTGCAGTTTTTTTTCACTGAGTGTATTGCTATATGGTTGCTTTGCTGAGTACTGTAACCAGATAGAAGATAAATATGCTAGTGTTTTAGAAATAGGCAGAATGGCTGATTGAAGTAGAATCTGGATGGATAATAATATAAGACCTCAAAGGCTGCTAGCCTCATGATACTTTAAGCCTGCACTCTAGCTTTATCAGTTCTAAAGACATACTGTCTAAGGGCTTCCCATGGTGCCTGACATTCATTAGCAAATTTCAAATAATAATTTTTAAAGAATTTTTTCTGAAGGAAAATGTCAAACTTATAAAACTGAAACTGGTAGTGTACTGAACCGCTGTATGGCTACCCCTGTATCAGCTCAGATAATCACTAGCTCATATCCAGTCTTGTTTCATTTATACCCCTATACCCTTTCTCTCCCCACAAACATTATTGTGAAGCAAACCGCAGAAATCATATAATTCATTCATAATAGTCTAGTATATATCTCTGAAAGAGAAACAATCAAAAATTGCAAAGCCAATGCTGTATGTAAAAATCAGCAATACATCCTTAATCTCATTAGATGCTCAGTCAGTTAGCAAATTTCTCCAATTGTCTCATTAATAAATTTTAACAATTCATTTGAATCCAGATTAGCATAAATTTCATGTATTGTAATGAACTGCTATGTTTCCTACATTTCTTGATCTGTATGACTACTTCTCTTTTAATCCTCCTTCCTGTCTCTCCTCCTCCTCCACCTCTTCTTCTACCTCTTCCTCCTTTCCTCCCTCCTCCTTCTTCTCCCCTCATTCTTTCTGCTATTAGAGAAACCTAGTCATCAGTCTTATAGTATTTTCTACGATCTAAATTTGCTAATTACACTTCCATGCTATTTCTTCTATGTTAGTATTTCTGTACTGAGGTTTGCTTGTACTAAGTTCCAGTTCTTCGCAAGTCCTTTAAGGTGGTTTAGCAAGTCTATGAAGAGGAATCATTTCTGGTTTTCTCACTTACTATGTCAAAACCCATTAAAGATCCTTGTCCAAACCCAGTCCTTTATTATGGTTGTAAAGTGCTGGTATTTCATCACAGCTTCCTCATTTATCAGCTGATGTTCTTTATGAAGAGAAGCCCACCCCCACTAAGCATTTGACTGCTGTAAGATAGAAGTCAGGACCAGTCTCTTCTGCATTTACTAGTTCTGGTGCCTCAGATCCCTAGCATTCTCCAATGGAGACTCACAAATTTATTATTATCAATATTTACTTGTTGACTTAAGGACTTTAACATATTTAAAATGTGGTATTTCAATTCATTAAAATTTTATCCCTCTATTCAAACTGTCCTAAGTTAGCCTGTGAGAACCTCTTCAAATTGGCTCTGAGTCCTTTGGGTGTCCCTCAATCATCTTGCATAGTTCCAGGCTCTTTTGCACGTACCCTGCTGCAGACCTAAATCCAGATCTCTATCCAAAGGATCTCTGCTCCTTTTAGGAGCTGAAAGAGCATGATTGGGGTGCTATGGGTTGGTTTTTGTTTCTTGGTTCTTTCAGTAGACAGGATAGTGTAGGATAGGATAGGATAGGATAGGATAGGATAGGATAGGATAGGATAGGATAGGATAGAATAGAATAGAATAGAATAGAATAGAATAGAATAGAATAGAATAGAATAGAATAGAATATATAACACAATATAATTTACAATATAATATAATGCAAACAATATAGTTTAAATAATTATAAATATAAAGTCATTGATTTCAAAATGAAATTATAATTTCAAACTCAACATCCCCAGGTTTTTTATTTTAACTCATCTGTCTTATATCTATTACTCCTTTCAACCACGCTGACAATCCTAGGTCCCAGAAACACCAATACCATCATTTATCTGCTTTATCCCACAACATATACATAACAATCTTGTAAAATGAATAATAGCGACCAATAAGCTGCATAATTATTGCAAACATTCTAGGATTATTTTTCACCAAAGATGTTATAGTGGCAAGCATCTGCTTAAGTCTTTGCTCACAAAGTGTGTGTGTTGGTTATATCCCCCAAATGTGTCTAACACTTTCCTCTTATGTAGCCAGAAGTAGATCACATGGTCTATCAGTGCAAGCATGAGGAAGTAGGGAAGAAGAAGTGTGCATTTCGTTGTACTTTTGTTGTAAAGTGGTTTTTGCACGGTTCCCTGCACGTATTGGAACCTGTCCACAAGACCTCATTTTCACCATCAACTTTTTAATAGCGAGATCCTGTCACCATTACTATGTATAATTTATAGGATTAAAAAAACTTTATGTCACTAGTAAAGTGATTCATGATAGAAAAAATTATCAGATGGAGCTCCTCAAAGAAATTTTTTCTTCTCAGCTTACTTCTTAAAATGATCAAAATACTTTTTTTTTTTTTTTAATATAACCTTCCCATCTAAGGTCAGCATCTTTTTATTCTTCCAGTGGTTTAATTTTTGTCTTAAGGGGTTCCTCAAAGAAGAAACATGAATAGTAGAAGTGTGTACACTGCTAAATTTCTTAGAATAGGTCTGGACCACCTCATAAGTATGTTTATATGCTTTGTGAAGCCACATGAAATTTGATCTGATTTCTTATCAGTTATTCCCTATAATTATTGGACTTGTCAATTAGATGAGCTGGTGAGGAAGGTGGACAGAGTTGAGAGAGAAGGCTTATGCCCCTTTACCTTCTGAGACCCAGTTTCCTTTGGAATTCTAGGTCCTTTCAGCAGTGATCACTTTTACAGTTTCACTTACAAAACACATGTCAGGAAAACAAGAATTAAAAATTCTATAGAATTCTTCCAGAAACCTTTGCAATGAAAGATCTTTTATCCAAAACGATCTGACCAAAATGAGTCTTTTTCCCCTTTTGAGTGATTGGTATGCATAAATAATATTAGCCTGCTGACATTTATACATTTGCATTAATACCTCTTAAGAGTGAAACACCCTAGAGGCACTATTGGGCTGACAGCGACACACGGTGCCATGCTCAACACTGAAGAATGTGATTATGTGCCTGGGATGTAGGGACACCGAAGGAATGTTAAGTTTTCTGGTGAATCAATAGAGCACCGGTGTGAGATGCTCTGCTTACCTGTGGGGAGGTAGGCAACTGCAGTTTGCGTGCTACTTTAGAAATATGTTGGCAAATGTAGGCTCATTTTTTAATTAAGTAATAATTGAGAAAGCTGTAGTCACCATGAAA